CTCAGTTCCTCCCATTCCCTCCCCATCTCCTCCCATTCCCTCCCTATCTCCTCCCAGTTCCTCCCATTCCCTCCCTATCTCCCAGTTCATTTCAATCCCTCCCTATCTCCTCCCTGGTTCCCCTTTCCTCCTCCCACCCTCCCTCACTTCCTCTCTATATCTTCTCGTATATCCTACTCACTACCCAACACGACCCATACCCTTATATGTAATGTAATCCCATTAGTTTATTTACAATTGATTTGAATAAGTGGTTTTTAAACCAATCAAATGTTTAACTTCAAAATATATTTATATAATTTAAGTTGTCTATGTTTTGAGTCATTCTACTGATAGTTCTTGAACAGACAACATGTCATTTGATTGTTCTGAGTGTTGTGTGAAATTCACGAGAGCTGATAATCTTGCTCGACATATGAATAAATTTCATGGGAGAAATATGCCTCAACCTGATATAATGCTGAAACATCCATTTACTATGATAGCAGGTAGGCACGATAAATACAGTAAATTCTAATAGATGTAAAAAAATCTTAAATAATTGTGACAATTTATTAAATATATAAATTTTGTATTTCCAGCTGGACCAACATCCTCGGGGAAGACTTGGCTCATGAAGTACTTGATCCAAAATGCTGAACGGTTTATATCTCCATTTCCAAGAAGAATAATCTGGTGTTATGGTCAATGGCAACCCGCCTATGAACAGCTAAGAAAATACCCGAATTTGGAATTTGTGAAGGGGATACCAGAAGACATCGATGATCCTAGATATCTTGACACTTCATCACCTACTTTGATACTACTTGATGATCTCATGAATGAAGCAACAAATGACCAAAGAATATGTGACCTCTATAGCAAAGGAAGTCATCATCGAAATCTGTCTGTGATTTGCCTCCTCCAGAATATGTATCACCAGGGGAAAATGAACAGATCAATGAGTTTAAACTCTCACTATATGATACTATTTAATAACCCCAGAGATCGCCAACAGGTGGCATTCTTATCTAGGCAAATGTATCCCGGAAATGGAAACAAGTTGGTCAGAGCTTATACCAGCGCCACAAGCCGACCCTATGGCTACCTGCTTCTTGATCTAAAGCAAGAAACCCCAGAACACAACAGGTTGAAACCAAATGTCTTTACCAATGATAAAGGTGAATTGAAAGATACTCATTACTCCAACAACTTCAAGCAACCAATGAATGATTCCAAACGTCCAATTGAAATGCAGGACATTTCAGAAGTCAAACACCCAACTACATCTATAAATACTAGCGATATCATGAACCACCCTTATTTGGAATCTGAAGTTCAACAAGACAACATGGTATCTTGTGATGATTGTGGTTTAGTATTTGATAGCATTCATGACTTACAAAGACACATAAAAAATTGGTGTCAAGACCAAGGACCACAATCCAAAAGGATGAGGACTCAATCCACCCTGAATATGGACGAGAATATTCCTAGAGAAGAAGATGATGATTTAAAAGAAAATGAAACATTTGCTTGCCTCAAGAAGTGGGCTAGAGAATCATTTGAAGAGGACTATCAAGATAAATTGAAAGAGTATTTGGATCGAGGAATGAACAGACAAGAGGCCATAGAAAAGGCAAAGAAGAAACTACTTTCAAAAGTTCAGGAGAAATTTATGAAAAACTATAAACAGCTGGTTGAACTATTATTTGGTGTAGCGGATAATGCATTGCATAGAAATATTGTGGATGCAGTGAATAATATGATGAGCAGAGGCGTGTCTAGGGATCTCGTTATTAGAAAAATACTTTTGAAAAACAAACACAAGTTTGATGAGCTATTCATAGATGATACAGATGAGGATGATTCTGGGGATGAGGGAAGTGAATCTGAGAATGAGGCTAGTGAATATGAGAACGAGGCTAGTGAATCGGAGGATGAGTGATAAATATCCATGGATTCATGAGAGATCTCCATTTGTAAGTCAGAAAGCGACCATACAAGATGTCATATCAGGACTATTTGAAGAAACTATACTTTGAAAGTCAACATTCTGGAGCATTTGCTGGACCCGATAAACTATACAGAACTGTACTAAAAGATGGAAAATATAAACTTTCCCGCTATCAAATTAAGAAATGGCTCGATAATCAAGAATCTTACAGCTTGCAGCGACCTTACAAGAAGCGTTTTACTCGAAATAAAGTATATGTTTCACATATTGATGAACAATGGGATGCTGATCTAATGGATGTCTCTAATATGTCAGCACATAATGATAGGATACGTTTCATTTTAGTTGTCATTGACATCATGTCTCGATATGCCTGGATCAGACCTTTACACAATAAAACTGGAAAAGCTGTGGCTGATGCATTTGATGATATCTTCAAGAAGGGACGCCAAGCAAATGTAATACGGAGCGACGCTGGCCAAGAATTTCGTGCCAGGACTGTACAAACATTGTTGGGCAGATGGGGAGTCCGCCATTTTGTTACGAGTAATACTCCAAAGGCCAACTATGCAGAGAGACTTATAAAGACATTAAAGACTAAACTCATGAGATATATCACATACAAACAGAACTATAGATTTGTAGACAATTTACAAAACTTTGTTAAAAGTTATAACGCTTCTTGGCATAGGGGAATAAAAATGGCTCCTAAAAATGTATCCAAAGATAACGAATTGGCTATTTGGTGGCATATGTATTATCCTACATCAACTGTTGTCAAAACCAAATCTAAACAGTTATTTAAATTTCCTATTGGAGCTCTGGTTAGAATTACCCAGTCGAAACATATTTTCAATAGAGAATATGACCAGCATTGGACTGGGGAGGTTTTCAAAGTAGACAAACGTTTTATCAGACAGGGGGTGCCTTTATACCGTTTGAAAGATTTTCAAGATGATGATATAAAGGGTACGTTTTACCAATCAGAGCTTCAGAGGGTACAAGCTAATGAAGATGATATTTGGAAGGTGGAGAAGATCCTAAAAACACGAATCAGACGAGGTCAAAAAGAGCATCTAGTGCGTTGGCAATATTGGCCCAAAAAGTTTGATTCATGGGTTAAGGAATCTGAGATTTCCTCATTGTAAATATTCTGTCATGTATTACACCATTTTATTAATTATTATATAAACTATAATGTAAATAAATAAATATATATATATTATTTGTGTGAATATTGAAAATAAGTGTTTTGTTTGTTTCATAGATATAGCAAGTGTATATGGATAATTCGGGTTACTAAAGAAACGACTGACAAAATGCAAAACCAGTGAATAGCTTGTAGTCTAAAATCTATATAACTAAGCTTTGATAACAAAACTATTAGTATCCATAACGACAATATTAATCCACCTCTTGAGTTCGATCCCTGGTTGTACCGACAGAAAGCATTTTATTAAAATTCCTTATAACCGTTGAAAATCCCCGGGAATAGTGTGTACCTGGGGGCTAAGCGAAGCTGCCCCCAGGGGCCCCCAGGAAATCCGGTTATCTCTCTCCTTTAGACTACTACTTTTATGTTTTGTGATCTTTCCGGAAAGAGCCATTATTTTGGAGGACATGCTGTCCTGAATATTTTTGTCAATGATATTGTAAGTTATTTTTTCAAATAAACAGCTCATATACATTAGTTGACTCATTATATGCCATTTATTACCAGTTCTGGATACAACTGCCATCTGTGAGATAATTATCAGAAGCATCAAATATCATGCAAATATGATCTAATCAATATTATTAAATGATGAATGCAAATATGATAATATTAATTCATATGTTAGGAGAGAAAACCTATTATATACCATTTGGACTTAGCATTAACGATAACTATCAATCAATATTTGAGTGTCTCAGAGGATTTATAAAACAAATCAATTAATATAGTTTCTACAATACAAAATATGGAATTGATTTTTGACATCTTAATCGTGATACAGTAGCTGTACTCAAACAAGAGAACTGAATACATGGAAGCCAAAACACAGCTACATGTATCTTGTACAAGTCCAGGGTTTCGTTGGAATTTTTGATAATGGACTCACAAAAAGACCTAATTTTAAAAAACAGGCAAAAAATGTTATTGAAAATTATAACCTTGATTCAGATTGTCAAAACAATTGGCAATTTCAGTAAAAAAGCAATCGGAAACAAATGCCTGTTGCCTGCAGCTATTTTTTGGCTGTGGGTTCATTTCCTTAGAAGTCAGAAAATATAGAAAATATCTGCTACCAATAGCCTTTCTGCTTATGAAATTCTAGTATTATGTATAGCGTCAATAAACCAGAGCAATACATAGGAAACAGACTACTACTACTGCACTCATAGTTTCATACATGTACAGTGCTACAAGGTTATCTTTATACCAAATAAGTTCCAAGATATGTTAACTGAATGTACCTGAGGATGTATAAACACTTGTATTATCTACTCTGTAAGGGATCTATCAAGGAAAGGCTTAGGAAATAAAGAATATTTTCAAGTTTAGGCGTAACTATCGCCTGATTTATAATTGTTTCTAAGCCCTTCATCTAGAACGGTCCCACGCTAGTCGAAACGCCATCTATACCACAAGGGCCTTTTAGGCCATCAGCTTCACCCCAAAATTTAGGTTATCGGTACCAAGTTAGGGGAATAAGCCTCATTGTGATTTTTGGTCAGGTAAATACCTCTAGAGTAAGAAATTATATGATAGCATTGCAGAAGTGGCAGCTAAATGGGTGTTATCACCCATTTTTCAAAATGGCCGCCAGTGTGCTTGCTACCAAATAAAAGAAGTTATATCTAAGCATACTGAGAGGCAAAAACAGTGATTTTGAACCTAATTAGTGTATTTTTAAATGCTGAGTTTCTTTTAGTGAGGTGAATGTGAATCTTAATCTAAAAGCTTTAAGTGAGCATCCTGTTTTTAAACAAGACACATATCACACATCTCTTACTTCCTCAACATTTCTACAACAAGGCACTGTAGTAATGCAATTCTGCAAGAGCACATGATTCTACCTACCTAAGCACCTCCATGGCTTTACAGTGTGTGTGCCGTAAGTGTGGCAGTGCTTCACACCAAACTTGCACCAGTCGGAGATCGTGACTTTGTCGCTGGCTGGGACAACATTTGTGATGTCATAATCGGGGTATTTCTGCAAAAAAGAATGGATTGATTAGACAGCAGAATAACCGCAACAATACAAGCTAATAATGTACTTATGACAATTGCAACTGACAGTATTATTTGTTACATAAAGGAGCCATACTCTGCACGCATTCAGTAATTAATTATTGTGTATAAGATCAAGGTTGGTACGAAAGGTCACTTCTCCAGCTCCCAAGTTATTTCAATGGGAGTTTATCAAAATATTGACAAAATTTCTTTTTTTGCCTGAAGCCAGTATGATTTGAATGCTATCCCAAAAAGCGATAATTTAGCCATTATCAAAACTATCGCTAATAGCGATAATTTCACTTTCATCTTATAAGACTTAAGTTGGCTTAACTTGACCGACGGAATATACATACACCAACTTATTTTCCTCATGGCTGTAAAAATGTGTCTATGGTTTTTTCTTTGTATTTTATTAGACAGAGACCAAACTAATGGTTGTTATTTGAGGCAGATACAAATGAGTGTAGTTGTCACTGCACAATGATATTAATGAGCCAGAAAATAATCCCATCTGAAATGATTATTAAGGGATACCCACGATGCCTAAAATTGTTCTATACAGTCTTCATAAGCATGACAGCCTATTGCTGCCTGTGATAATATTCAGCTAGATTAGATAAAGCCATCATCTGGAGAAACTATTAGCACTTTTCTTCATTATGAACACTGTCAGAATAACTATGTCTGGCACCTAGAACATCCTGAACACTGTCACAATAACTATGTCTGGCACCTAGAACATCCTGAACACTGTCACAATGACTATGTCTGGCACCTAGAATATCATGAACACTTTCACAATAACTATGTCTGGCACCTGGAACATCATGAACACTGTCACAATAACTATGTCTGGCACCTAGAACATCCTGAACACTGTCACAATAACTATGTCTGGCACCTGGAACATCCTGAACACTGTCACAATAACTATGTCTGGCACCTAGAACATCATGAACACTTTCACAATAACTATGTCTGGCACCTGGAACATCATGAACACTGTCACAATAACTATGTCTGGCACCTAGAACATCCTGAACACTGTCACAATAACTATGTCTGGCACCTAGAACATCCTGAACACTGTCACAATAACTATGTCTGGCACCTAGAACATCCTGAACACTGTCACAATAACTATGTCTGGCACCTGAAACATCCTGAACACTGTCACAATAACTATGTCTGGCACCTAGAACATCATGAACACTTTCACAATAACTATGTCTGGCACCTGGAACATCCTGAACACTGTCACAATAACTATGTCTGGCACCTGGAACATCATGAACACTGTCACAATAACTATGTCTGGCACCTAGAACATCCTGAACACTGTCACAATAACTATGTCTGGCACCTAGAACATCCTGAACACTGTCACAATAACTATGTCTGGCACCTAGAACATCTTGAACACTGTCACAATAACTATGTCTGGCACCTAGAACATCCTGAACACTGTCACAATAACTATGTCTGGCACCTAGAACATCCTGAACACTGTCACAATAACTATGTCTGGCACATAGAACATCCTGAACACTGTCACAATAACTATGTCTGGCACCTAGAACATCATGAACACTTTCACAATAACTATGTCTGGCACCTGGAACATCATGAACACTGTCACAATAACTATGTCTGGCACCTAGAACATCCTGAACACTGTCACAATAACTATGTCTGGCACCTAAAACACCCAGAACACTGTCACAATAACTATGTCTGGCACCTAGAACATCCTGAACACTGTCACAATAACTATGTCTGGCACCTAGAACATCCTGAACACTGTCACAATAACTATGTCTGGCACCTAGAACATCTTGAACACTGTCACAATAACTATGTCTGGCACCTAGAACATCCTGAACACTGTCACAATAACTATGTCTGGCACCTAGAACATCCTGAACACTGTCACAATAATTATGTCTGGCACCTAGAACATCCTGAACACTGTCACAATAACTATGTCTGGCACCTAGAACATCCTGAACACTGTCACAATAACTATGTCTGGCACCTAGAACATCCTGAACACTGTCACAATAATTATGTCTGGCACCTAGAACATCCTGAACACTGTCACAATAATTATGTCTGGCACCTAGAACATCCTGAACACTGTCACAATAATTATGTCTGGCACCTAGAACATCCTGAACACTGTCACAATAACTATGTCTGGCACCTAGAACATCCTGAACACTGTCACAATAACTATGTCTGGCACCTAGAACATCCTGAACACTGTCACAATAATTATGTCTGTCACCTAGAACATCCTGAACACTGTCACAATAACTATGTCTGTCACCTAGAACATCCTTCTTCAAAGGATTTTATTTATGCTTAAATTCATTATGGAAAGAAGTGAGATACACTTGGACTGAGGATGACATATAATTCTATCCTTTGAAAGAGGAACTTACTTGCAATATAAACAAAGAACTTATTGAATCAATCAGACCCTGAGGGTGTTGAGTAGCTATGTTTGGACTATGCTTCTTTCATTACCTATTGTAGTTTTAGTTATTAGACTTTAAACTTTCATAATTAAAAACATCCTGACATCGCTCCAAAGTTTAATTATGCCTTAAAGGGTTACTTTACAAAACAGCAAAATAAATCACCCTTTTAATATCCTCTTCTGCTATAGTTAAGTTACATCTTAAAAATATCAAAAAGAACAATTTCTACAAAGTAGTTGGTTATAAATGACCAATAGTTGAAGCAAAAAGTGCATAAGAATCATGGAAGGCAATGCTCATATGATATACCTGTACAAGTAGCTTATAATGTATGCATTGAGGGTTGTCTGTGTAAATCATATGTTGATACAAGGCTCATAAAAACTAAAATCTCCAGTTAGTAAGTTCAGCAAAATGCAAAACTCAAATATTATTACCCCATGGACAAACACAGAATATTCATCTTTGGAGGTCTTATTAATGTTTAAGCTGTCTGGTTGAGCAAATGGGAATAGAAGGGGATTGAGAGTCCACGATGAAGATGAATAATTTTATATTATACAGGCCCATAGCTGGGGTATGGGGGGGGGGGATCAAGGGATGCAAACGAATCCTCCCTCCCCACTGGCCAAAAATTCTTTCAAAATCCTGCAGTTTTCTACCATCCTGAGCATTTTCCAGTGATTCTGGGTCCAATTGGTAAAATGTGAACCCCCTGGAATTTTTTAAAAGTGAACCTTGGCAAAAGCTAGCTACGGGCCTGATATGAGAAAGTATTCAGCACCTTGCATGAAGATATCAGCTCTGATGCCCAAATGGAAGATCATGACATATAGGGTAGGAAAAGAAGTATACAATTGGATAAAATATTGATCCAGTCATTCATTACCATCTGCTACAGACTTGGATGATCAATATAAGGTAGCCAGGTAGCAACTAGCTGGGTGTGAAATATGACTTCAACAAAACTTGACATCTGTTCGACCAAGTTATTGTTAGGGTCATTGATAGAATATAAAATAGGGAATCTGCATGGGTTTCTTCACTTTGAATTTCACTCTCATGATATTTGTTTTACCCTCTGCTTTTTTATAAATATTGTAATGTTAAATGTGAACCTTTTGAATTTTTCTCTTTTTATCAGTAGTTGGTTTAGTTGGTTTAGTTCATATACAAATCTTTTTATTACTTGCTGATTTTTAGATTTTTATTTTTAGATTTCAGCCACAAGCACTGAGTTGCTACTGGCATATAGACCAAAACATATGAATAGCACAGTACTGGTTCAAATGACTTCTTTTTTATGTTGAACGTATAAGTAGTCAAGGTTTCACCATTTACCTCTATGATTGAAAGAGCTATAAGTTATTGTGGAAATACCATAGTATCTTTAGACTGTTGAATGAAGTCAAACACCAAGGCAATCAATCAAAAACAACATACTGTATATGGACCATATGGCTAGCTCAATGTATATATGCCTATGTTTTTCATTAATTCTTTAAATTCACTTTTATAATCATAATAGCATGAGATGCATGTTTGTAATAAACAACAGGAAAATGTATAAGTATCGGAATGTACTTACTCAGGCCCGTAGCCAGGATTTACCAAGGGGAGGGGTTCAGTTTCCAAAAATTTTCAGGGGGGGTTCACATTTGACAATTTTGGCCCAATGGCCAAAATATGGCTAAAATCACTTGAGAAGTGCTAAGAATTTTGCGAACCCGAACCCTGCGAACCCACCCCCTGGCTACGGGCCTGGTACTTGTCGCACGTTTTTGATGAAACTAGAATAACAGCAACTCCATGGAGTACTCAGAACTACTGAAAACAATAAATCTATTTAATCACTCATCAGCTTGAACATTACATAACAGAAATAACTGGCCAGTAGTATTGTCTCCTTTAGGAGATGACCATCTTAGATTACCAAGGTATGAATTTTTCATAGTTGAAAATCAAACTGGTAAACCAGTATGGGAGATGACGTTAAGTATAAAGATGCCATATTATAAATTCCTCAAATAGAGGTCTTAATAGTATGGCCAGTAGGCATCAGTCTATAAAGTTAAGACCCAATCTGATAAAAATATATGCCTTAACCGAAAATTTATTTCTTGAAAATACACTTTACAAAAGTCAGAATGTGACTCTTATAAAGGATACATGTTCTTAGATAACCTTACCAAAGTGGCTACAGATAATGATCTATGAGTAACATTATAATATGTATCAACCCAGATGATCCCAATTATTGAGGGAACACGTAATGTAATCATTCTGATACTCGTAACATCTTTCTGTTTCACCTGAAACATCTCAGGGCCGAGACGAAATGAGATGTCATTTATATCATGATGCAAGGTTGTTGTGAATGAACAAGTTGCCAAAACTACCTTGTAACAAAAAAACATTTTCTTCTGATAGAAATCATACTGGAAAGTGAGTATGGAATGTTAAATGATTAGTTTAATAAAGCATAAACTAAATACCATTCTGTTTCACTTCATCTCATAACTGAGAAGAAATGACTTGACATGATTATATCATTCGTATTGTTTTAGGTAACATACACATAGAATTAGCGATCCAAGATATCAGTAGCCCCTGGATTCATAGGGTCTACACAGAATGACTATGTGCTTTGTGCCGGATAATTGCTTATATTCAGATAATCCTCAGATGATTGCCCTGCCCCCAGATAATTACTGAACCCAAATGATTACTTTGACCTGAAATGATTGATTTACTCCCTAATATGATGTAATTTTTGTTCTCGGTTTTACTTAAACATAAGATATGAAGTTTTCACGATTGAAAATTAAACCGGTGAGTGAGTATGGGCTATTTACAAGAAATGAGTCAGATGGTACCTTGGATTTCAGAGCATGAACTTTTCATTGACTGGAAATCAAGCTGGCAAATGAGTATGGTTAGAATGACCGTGTTTCTGTAGGAAAAATGCCAACACAAGAAATGGAGCTCTATCTGTGTTGTGCTTTCCATAATATGAAAGTCTCAGATTTTGATTTGAGCAAACAATGGAAATCATGCAAACCATTCAACCTCTTTCCTCGCATGATGCCACATATTGGAAATGGTGCCAAAAACAGCCAGGACTCCCTTCGGGCTTTTAGACCGTGGAGCAGTGTCACAATCTTTTACAGCGGAAATAACAGTTTCTGATCAAAATTCCCTAACCTTAGTTTTTCCTATTAAGAGCCCTGGGAGGTACCCTATGGCAATAACCTCTCCAACAAAGAACCAAAAATGAAATATTAAAGGAAATGCTGGAGATGGGACTCACCTCTGGGGCATTGTTGTAAAACAGTGTTTCAATGTAGAAAATTCAATAGATCAAGTTGTTTTAACTTGAAGCGCAGCGCGAGTGATAAACCAAAATAATAGAACATCCTACGAGCACAATTCAATTGTAATCGCAAAAAGAACATTTTCACCTCTTATTACATTGATTTCATCTGACGTCAAAAGATCTAATAATCTTTAAGATTTATTGACAATTTAATCATGTTGGATTCAAATTTCCTAATGTTCAATTAGTTCTTATTTCATAAGTCATCATAATACTGTGATATTATATCAATAAAATTATTTCACATATTACATTATACTTATGTTTCATCTATTACTAGTAGTTGTGTGAAAAAATCAATGGAAGCAATATCAGAGATGAACACTGAATGATTAGGTGAACTATTTCTCATTGATATAGATAAGAGTGTATATAACTAGTACATGTATATAATTAATTTGTTTGGATGGTTCCATCTGATTCTGATACTCATAACATCTTTCTGTTTCTCTCTCATCACTCAGAGAATAACTGTGTCATTGTTTATCATGATGGGTTCCATTTACAAAATACATGTATTATACTGGCGGATCTAGGGGGGGGGGGGGGGCAGGGGCCAGGGTGGGTGGGCACTTTGGGTAGGCCCAGAAAAAAGTTGAATGGGCCTTTTGTGCAAAAATAGGCCTTGTAAGGCCTTGTTTTTTAATTTTAGGCCAAATCATCAGGAAAATAAGCCCTAAACTTTGAAGACTTTGGCCCACTTTTTGGTTTTAGAGGCCCAAAATCTTTTTCCGTACAAGTGCGGAAACTTTTTTTCAGACTTCAAATATGCCCCCCCCCCTTGTTGGTTCCTGGATCCGCCCCTGTATTAGGAAGTCTATCAACATTTGATACATATTATTTGAATTTTCCCAAACTGATTATGAAATCCTGATAGTATCAGCAAAATGTTTAAGAACCATCAAGATGAACCGTGACCTCTTATTTCTCAGCTGGGAGTGAAACAGGGGGAGAGGTAGGGATGTGATGAGTGTCAGAATGTTGAAAAAGTTGGAGACTATAACAAAAAAGAACTACTATAGAATATGTTCTTATGAATTGACTCAAAGGTGCCAATATACTATTTTAAACCAATCAGATTACAGATTATTTATTAATAAATAGCCCATGGGGATTCTGGGTAATTATAAATCAATATAGATATGGTGAATATTTTCTCACATCTCCATAAATCTAAGGCAAATATCAAAGGTTAATGGCTGATAACAATAGCTAATGATAAACCACTGACTACCCACAATGGGGCCATATTCCATAATGTCATCTCAAATAATGAAAAAACAACATATCATTCCTCGACCCCTGGATGTAGAGAGAGATCTATGGCCTGAGCCTCTGGAATCCTTTGATACCGCATCAATAGCTAGGTAATAGTAGAAAACGAGCTAGCTACATGGAATACTAAGCGCTATCATCATTATTTCTCTTATTATGACTAATCATTGAAAGTGAGTCTGATGACAAACTCATATGCTATCATTGCTTAATAATGACTGGATACTTGTAATTTCCATACTGTTTAGCCTTGCTTAAGGTGTTTTACAAAGGCGTTTCTCCCATCATGGATTGCTCTGGCATTTTTCATACTTCTTAAAAGGGAGGAAATATGATGAAAATCAGAAGGGTTTGTATTTCTAGATAAGGGAGGAAAAACTTAAAGTATACATGGGTGAACCTTATTAATGGGATTGGGAACAGCTCAAATAGACCAATCCAGTAAATCATGCCATCTATTGGTTATGATGTCATTTCAGTGCAGAATTAGATCAAAATATTGCTAATTTTCAAAAACTTCTTTCAATTCTGTTTACAAACATTGCTGCCTATAAAGTATGACATCATATCTAGCTAATAAACTCTATTTCCTTGGTTCACAAATAGGGGTCAGGATTTATTGGAAAGGTCTATTATGAACACTTTCGGTAACCCATTTGGATAGTCTATCCATTCCAGGTCATCAGAACCTCTAGCGTGAACAAATCTTTCAACATTTTGAGATGGTCCCAGTACGGTTCACTTCGGACAAATAAATGTTATCGTCTCCCATGTGGGAGATGCTAATAGGAATCAATTGCTACAATACCATATAGGAAATAAATCAGAACAATATATTATTATCACATGATGACAGTGTATATGCATTGTACATTGTTATGCTTGCTTGGCACCCTGGGCAAACTGCTTCTTAAAAGAGAGATTTGTCGCCACTCTTTCAGTTGACAAAAATCTCTGAACTCATGAACCTAGTCAGAGTTCATCATCGAAATATGGATGACTTTCTATGTATGTTCATTTTCTATGATACAAAATATAATACATACTTTTTACATTGTGTCATAGTTTATTTTACAACAAATGACTTGTATTTATTTTATTGGTAAGTTCAATTCAGCTTTAGTTTAATTTTCAACATTATATTGTGCAATGTAGAGACCACTATGTCATTATTATGGTATCAAGAGAATCAATAAAAAGATATATGGAGACTTACTTCTTTACAATACTTGAGTATATCCTGTGGCTTCTCGAAGCAACTGTTCTTTGTATCTGGCAGCCATCCTTTCTCTGTCATAAACATGTTTGGCTTCTTGCATACGAATGCCACCATAGGTTCAAATTGGGGGCTCACATCTACATTGGCAGCGAGAGCCTGAAAAAAACAGAATGAAATACAATGAGATTAATAATGGTGAAATACACATGTAAGGACATAGAAAAAGTGATATACAGTACTCATTTAACAGACTTTTATATAGTCTGACAATTAAGGTAATTTATTCTATTATGTTGTTGTCCTAAATAAGGCATCTTTCGACTACCAAGGTGAAGTTGATGCAACTGAACCTTGTGAATCAAAATGAAATGGGGCTGATAGTGCATTTAAAATGCTATAGCCTAAAGGTTGACAGTGCATTTGTAAACAGAATAACCTGGATTGATAATGCATTCATAAACCATATATGTATTATATACATAGGACATTGATGTCAGGACTGTCACATGCAGATTTCTTTGAAGATTTTACCATTCTTAGTTCTCTACTGGAGGTGAATTATATATGGATGTTAAAAAGGTCTGATACAAGACTTTTACTACTAATATATTTAATTTATCTAACACACTGTTTGTTTGACATGCATTTAGTGTGCAAATATATTTAATTCAGTCCTAAAACCCTAAAGCTATCTATGACCTCAAGAGAAGACTACTACATGTATTTCCATAATTATAAACACTGCACTGAATACGTAATTAAAAAAGTAATTAAAATAATATGAGTGAATCGTTAGCACAGGTGTATATGAGGTGTTGCACTTCTGTTCTTCATTTAAACCTCCAGTGTCTCGATCTTAAAGGGAGGCAAGCGGTTAGGTTCAATGGTTTCCATCCATATTTTTTTCTGAATGGATTCAAATGATATCGGTTTCTAATCCCCAAATAGTTTAAAAAGGAATCCAGCGTGAGATAGACAGTTACACAGCTGTCCAATTTAATTTACTATCAATATAAAAAGAACAGATGATAATTTCCCATAAGATGCCATATATGAGAGATTTATCTCAATATCTAGTCTATGATGTATTACATCTTACTTCCTAAAACTTCCTGAATTGATAAATTAGCTTTGATCAATAGTAATAGAAGTAGATTTATATAATATCCCCATAAGCAATGCTGCTACAGGAACAAATTAGAAATTTTGATTATCTAAGAAATAGCACAGAGTGACCTGAATTAAAAACAATGAGGTAACCATGGTTATTGTATGTTATATTGCAATGAGTTTACATGGTTATTAAATTGTACAGTATAACTTTTAAATTCCTTATATGGCAGATATTCAAAGTAACAATAAGAACATAGACCAATAATATGATGACTTGTATAATTAGTCATAACAACGGTATATGTACAGTATATGTATCTATTGCACCTAATTCACCTCATATACCCTTAGTATCTATATTGCAGACAGACATGTATGAAATCAATTTTGACAGATTTACATCGGAATATTTGTACTGATACATGATAGACATGTCAAAATGTCATTGGCAAGATAACATGGGGATTGAGATAGGATTAACCTTTAGCGTGCTGCCGGCGGACTCGTCCGCCGAGACTAAAATGTCTCTCACAACTGCCGGCGGACCCGTACGCCCGATTTCAAACTTTTAAAAACTTTACTTTTTCGCGCCATTCGTATTGTCCAATTAGATTTCCCGATTTATTCAGTGCCTAACATGACTTCCTGTTGACCTAGAAATGGCGATATTTCGAAAAATAATTCTCAATTCAACAATTTAAACAGTGTTTTAGTCGTTTTTAGTGAACGAATCGTACAAAATGGCGGACAAATACGATCACAACGAAAATGTGGAGGAAATGGACTACGATTTCGAGCTCTTTAGGCTCTTGGAAGCCGATAACGGTCATCGAAAATAGAAAGTAGAATATTTTCTGAATTGAAAAATTGAACATTCGATCGCTGCAAATTCAGATTTGGATTCTGACCAGACGAAGAGGCGGAGCGGCGGATTCCGGAGGAGTATTCATGGTATATTTATGCCCAGTCGTGTTAATGTACGAAAAAATTCATGAGAACATTTTTTTCATGAGCCAGGCCACTGTATCTTCCCTTTGTGAAAATTTTATCCAGATTCATTCAGTAGTTATTGAGATATTAATTATTTAGTCCAGGCATATCATTTTTTGCACTCTTTGAAAAATAAGCCAGTTGCGTGGGATATATTTGCTGAAATAAGGCAGCATGGTAAAGGTTAAACCATGTGAATGGAACGATATTTTTATGAATTAATTCCCAATCTTTTGAAGATTCCACCTCTAAGAAACAATAAGATCTTTTTTTTATATGTGAAGACCATAGCAAAAATATTTTGGATGTTAGAGCCCCAAGAAGTTTTTTATCACTGATCAGTATGTTACAAATAGCAATCATAGAACATGCCAATACAGAAGCTGTTTCAATGCCTGATATTAGGCACGATACATCAAATCTCAACCTGCGTCTATATATTGATCTGACAGGCCTATAAAAGCAATCTACCAGAATAAAATTTTCCTAGTTTGCGTATCGATTCCTGATGATAAAATAGAGTTTATCTTGGTTATTGACGATAACTGTTTTGCATCAATACTAACAAACTACAGGATACCACGTTTCCAATAAAATATGATACATATTGGATAGAATGTTGGTCTCATGTATTCTTCATCTCACTTAACACTGTCATAAGATTTCTTCGAGTCCATGATCATAGGTAGTCCAAGAGATAAGCAGGATGACCCTTTCTGAATATATAAACTCACTAGAACTGAGGAAATGCCATCTTGATTAATTTCTACTTAGGTTTCAGTTGTATAATATCTTGAAAGTCAATGGTGGATAATGCCTCAAAATTCATGATTTCCCCATGATAGTTCAATATATCATCTTGACTGAAAATTAAGGGATTCATTTACATAATCAGTTTCCAATGACTAACTGAGGTTAACAATGATTAACTGAATGTTGCCTATTGTGTTTGCAACATAGCAAAGCTACAAATGTGACATCACATTAACGAATCGATGCGAAACTAAGCCACCATTTCTGTAAAATAATGACTATTGATTGATCATTTCGTGTGGTAATTCTCTCTTAAAGGAACTGAATTCCTAGATCATCTAGAACCAACTTCATTTCTCAATCTCACTATGCAAACATCGTCTGCTAATTTCTCACTATATTTTTCAATACTTCACTTCATTTTCTCTAAAATCAGATTAACATTGTTCATATTTTAACATTTCTATATAATTTGACAAATGATCTATAAAGTGGTTCATTTATTTCTTGTGAATTCCTCTTTTAAGCATTTTATTTTACACTTAAAATATGGTCGCCATGACATTATGAGAGTCATTATGAGAGGATCGATGTGGAGCTTGGTGATGTGTTCTTTTATTATAAAGAATGTAGCCTTTTCTCCAGGCAGATTACAAGTCACTCAACCTGCCATGTACAAAAATATCCAAATGAATAGAAGATGAGACATCACATTTTTTATATATCTAAGTTATATTATAAGACAACAGCCAAAATGACTATAGCTTCAAAAACATTCTGAACATCTCCAACATGATATTTGTTTTATTTTACCCTCAGTGTCAACTAGTGGTGCAACTCGCAAGAAAAATGCTACTCGAGTAGAACGTGTGAAAATGCCACTGTAATCGAGTACCACTCGCAAAAATGAGGGAAAAATTTAAAAAAATAAAAAACTCACCTAGTCGACTGTTTGAAGACCAAATAGATACAATTTCTTCGTTTCTTCTATATGTTATTGATGTTATATATAGTTTGTATCAATTTAGTGAGAATAAATGTAGTTATTCGTGCCATAATTGTGTTTGTTTGTTTGTTTTTAAATTTATTTTGTTTCAGGAATCGATACTTTGTTTCGTTCAGTGCATCCAAAAATGATCATTCCCAGGGTATGAGATCGTTGTTTGGGAATTCAATGCCTACTCGAGTTTGAAAAAACGTACTCGAGTAACTATCTTGGACAGGTTCAACGAGTGAGTGGCGAGTACTGGCATTCGAGTTGCACCACTAGTGTCAACTGATTTTGGTATATTTAGGAAGCTAATAATGATAAGAAATAATATGAATGATACAGAAATAATTATATGTCAGTACAGTATACTCATAATAGCAGTTACCCCTATGTGTAAGACATATGCCTTTCATCTGCTCTGAATGATCACTTGTAACCCACAACGTTTGTTCACCTGTGCTCTTGCCTCTAGAGTTCTACTTCTAATGAATGATTACAAGAGGAACTGTCTTGTCTAGTCATGCAGGATTTCTAAATGCCAGGAGATTTTTTATGAAGGAAGAAATTTTAAGATCAGATTATTTCATCTATACTTAGAGAAGGCTACTCTCCCGGGTACTGAAGAAGCCTAAGTGAAGAAAGATTTAGCCTTTGGTACATGTTCACTGATTAGAAAAGATCCTCTACAATTTTGAAATTTTGAAGTGGATACTGACTTTGAGTTTGATTTTCAATAATAAAACGTAATCCAAGATGGGAAATTGGAAGGACAACTATCCTCCAAATATAACTGCTTCAAATGTGCGAAGTATCAATTACATATAAAGATACGATACATAAACAGCCTGTTTTACATATCAAGGTATATTTCCATATGATTGGTATAACACAGCAGTTTGCTAATGATATGCACTGCATACCTGTTCAGATCACTACAGGCCATATTCCTAATGCCCTGTGGTATGGAGTGCCACCAGATACATTGTTGACCTTTGCTCCTACCAATCCTCCCATCTGCTCATCACAGATTTCATTTATAGATTTCAAATTTACTATGTTCACATGGGATATACCCAACACATTCTAGCAACGATAGTTTGGAAGTTGGCTTCACTGCTCAAGTTTGGTTTTATTCAATTATCATACATATTTTTCACAGAATTATTAGCTTGGGATTAAACAGAAAAGAGCAAATTTTAGAAGACATTGGAGAATCATACATACAAGTTGACTTTTTAGAAATTTTGTTTATTTTCATTACTTTTTGCTAGATTGCATTGACTATAGCCAGTGTGATGTATGGTGGATT